TCTTTCCCTTGACTATGGCTTAAAACTTGCTGGGTCCATTAGCACTTAGAGAGCACAGTTGGTTTGGCAACTGTTACAGTAGGCACTACACAAACATAAATCATTCCCTCTGCCGTGAAGAATTCCTAATTGCACAGTGAGAAATTTCCTTCTTTTGTGCTGGTCCGTAAGTGGACAGGGCTTCTCAAGAAAATGCACTCAGTCTTGCTTGTGTTGGTGCCAGGTCTCCTCTTGGCTTATATACCATGCAAGTCATGTATCTGAAGGAAGCATGTAGTGATAATAGAGAAGCCTGTCTCTGTGATGGGGTAGCTTAGTGTAGCAGTTATGGTGTCTGACTGTCCTGTATTGGTAGATTATCCTTCTCTTTCCAGTATCTTTCTGGGATATTGAGCCTATTTGAGGTACAGTGGTGGCAAATCCAGAAGGTGCAGCAGTACTGTGGAGGAGGGGGTGGAGAACTTGTTTTGTGGCACATCGTGGTCTTGTTTCACCCACGGCCTGGTAGAATCATCTGATGGAGCTGTGCAAAATGTCAGGAGAAGTGATGTCTCGAGGTGGCGTGATTCACCTGCGAGGGGTTTTAATGCAGTGAATCACACCTGTCAGGAATTCTTCTGAACACTTCAGTGTGGAACTGCTTAACTCTTTCGTCCTTGAGAGTTATATGCTAGGGACTCCTGAATGTTTTATATGCCCTAGTCCTCACCCAAAAGCCTGCTGAGCTGAGAATAAACCTGGGGTAGTGAACTGTGGGAGAGAGGTGACTGGAAAGAGGAGAGGCTATGATGGCAGTGGTGTCCTAACACACCAGCTGGGCACACTTCGGGCTGCTGCTTGCGTGAAGTTAGGGGGCTTGGCTTCAATGAGGTCCACAGCAACTTTGGCCATAGCCAGACCACAAAAGACCACCAAATTGTTTATTTGCTTCCCTTTTATCAGGCTGTTTAGTTGGGTAGGCTGGTAGGGCAAGACAGGAAGATGCACTAGGTCTGAAGGAGGCAAATGAAGTTGCCATCTCTGTAGGGTTCATTGGATCTCTTTGGTGATAGTGATGCTAATTTAATGTTTGCAAAGAACACAGGCACACTCGGGAGTCCAGGTGTTTTGGGGATCTTTGTGCTTTGGGGAGCTACAGGTAGATAGTAGAGGACAGACTAGGATACATAGAACTTCCTACCTAAAGAAGAAATAGAGTGAAGTCAGAATGGCACAGCTGCAAAGGCACCCCTCTGAGCATGTGGCCTAGCAGAGAGGAGTGGAAACAGCTTTATTTAAATAAAATTCTCCCTGGCAGGGGCTTCACCTTAGGTAGCAATGTCAGTGGGAGGGATGGTCAGCTGGGGAAGGCATTGTATGAATGGAGCATGGGACCAGGGGCAGCCTTGAGAGCAAGTTGGGTTGGAAACCTGCCTATGGCAATTTTGTGTTTGCCATCGTGGGTATTCCAGCACAAGGGAATTACATGGAGGTTGGATGAGCCCTGCTGCTCAGCAGCTGTCCTGAGGGTGCTTTGTGTGTGTTTATGGTGAAGAATCACGTGTTTGGCAGTAAAAGCTATAGAGCAGTAACACTGATTTTTCATGGAGCGTCTTCTGTAAATGAGACAGAATGTTTCTAGTGGAATTTAGGCATCTCTGCTCTTGTTTTTGTTTTTTTTGCTTCTTCCAGTCTCTTCCAAGCCAGGGACCTGTGTGAAAGTGCTGACGATTGAGCCCACAGGTAACTGCCGGCTGCAGGAAGATCTGGCTCTCCTGGCAGACTGCGCCTTGCCGGCCGAACTGCGGGTAGGGAGCGTCTGTCCTGCCTGGGGCTCTGCGGGGCTGTCTGTGTGCTCACCAGTGTTCAGGCTCTTTCTCTCCATTTGAGTTTAGTGCTTGCTTATTTGCGGGATGCTCCAAATGCTGAAAGCCTTTTATTGCTTGGAAATGCTGTAAAATTGTTTAATGAGGCTGTCAGTGCTGGTCCCTTTCCTTTGGGTTTTTCCCCTCAGTGGGGATCTTGGTAAACAAAACCCTTGCCATGTAGTTGATGGGGATTTCCCCGTTGACTCCAGTGGGACAAGAGTTGGCCTCCAGCTCTTTTTCCTTCTCTCTGCTATCCTTCTGGAGTATCAGAATTGTTTTGTCAGAAGGCATTGGTACCCAAAGAGGCATATAAATGGAATATGTCTGGCTGGGCTTGCTTGCTAGGAAGTTACACTCTGTAGTGGAGACATGCCCTGATAATATTTCCAGAAGAAGTGTGAGTCCCTCTGAAGCAAATTTAACTTGGCTGGCAATAGATTTGCTTTTTATAATGTCTTGTTGAGCCTTAGAAGCAGCCCACGGGTTAATGATCACTAAATTAAAATATCATTAGTATTATTAGTTAGGCTCAGATATGTGGATCTTTGCTCCCAACTGCATCATAAGTATTAGTGGTCTTCATTCTCCCTGCATCTGTTGGTTTCTGTAATAGCAGCAGAATCACTTTGTTGTGATGTCTGTCCTTTTTTTCCCCTCTCTCTCATACCAAGCACTGAATTTAATAACAGGAACTCATTTTAGGTGGCTGCTGTGCCCAGAGGTGGTATGAGTGGGTGATGTAGCCAAGTTTATTGCCTTTTTTCTTCTTGTCCCCTGCCAAATAGACCTACCTGGTGCAGAGAGTGTGTGTGTGCATGAGAGTGTGACTGACCTGCTGGATAAGATTTCCTACCTGTAATAAGCCAGTGTGTTTTGTGCTGGCTTTTGACAGACATATTTCTCTTGAGTGCTTTGTAGAGGAAGTTTTTCTCCATCAAGTTTCTATCTATGATGCAGAAATCTTCCCTATGTAACTTGCTTCCCCCAAGTAACTGTGTATTTGTGTCTTTCAAAGTGCTTTGCTGTATGTTTGCAGACTTTAAAGGGAGGCGATATTATCAGTAAGCATCAGATTTGCCTGCCCAAGAATTAGAAAAAGGGTCGTTGGCCTCAAAACAGTGAGATTTACATAAAGTTTAATTCACTTCACAAATATAAAGAATGCTTTCTGTTTGCTTATTCCCAGACCTTGATGGCATGCTAGTGTTGGATTAACCTTTCATTCTCAAGGGTTAGAAACACTTCCCTTTTAAGTCTTTTATTTAGAAAAAGAGCTGGAAGGAAAAGAAGAAACTTGGAATAAAACAATTATCTGACAGCACTGTAAATATCTCTGTGAGCTGTGTTTTTCTTGCTGTGTTCATAGACCAGAACAAAGGCAGTTAGAGCAGCATTAAACTCGTTATGGCTTTAAAAATGAAGAGTGCAGGGGCACACACCTGTTCACTGGAGAATTTGTATGACAGGCACAAATGTGGGTGCTTTGTTTAAACCTGAAATTCTAAAAGATTCCTGTTCTTCTCTCTCTAGGGTTTGTGGGGTTTTTTTGCTAACTTACAAGCACATATGAACTAAGCTTTTCTACCTATTGCCATTTATAACTCATCCTAATTTTTTAAAATTGTAAAATTCTGTGAATTGGGTACCTTTCTTCTTGGCCAGACGAATCTCACATCCTCATTATTAACAGGATTTGATGCCATGCCTGGAGTGGTATACAAACTATGTAACCTAAAATGTCAGGGACAAATGAATTGTCACATACAGGCATCTGTGTTCTTGAGAGAAACATGTATCTTCTTCCAGCCTATGCAGAACAAAATAGGCATTTGACTTCTGGATAAAAGTCAGTATTTCTTGATGGCATTTCAGGTGATGATCAGAATTTGGCAAGAGATATTCTGAGCTGCTGCATGTCATGTGATGCCATATGACCTGAAATTGGGATGTATACAACTTTGTTTCACTGTAAACAAATAATTTGTATGTAATGTCTTTGATATTTGAATTATGCAGAAAACTACATGGATCCCAATTTCTTGGTTCAGTAATATGCTAGATGAGTAAAACAATAATTAACATTTGATATCCAATCACATTTCATTATTAGAGTGAGAACTATCTTTTTTTTAAATCTTAAACATGTCATCTCAGTATCTGGTTTCTCATTCCTGCTTATGCTTGAAAGATTTTTATCTTTCAGTGTTTGTTTTTGAGAATATGATTGTTGCCTCTCTTTTGTTTTAAACTAGTAATGGACAGTTTTTTTCTGACCAAAACAGCTGCTTCTTTGTTTTGTTGCAATAAAATTTAACAGTGACAGATTTAAGTAAAGTAATCATCAAAAGCCAGGCAACTGTTAAATACCTTGTGGCTTTCCACATTCTGTCTGCCTAGCTCTTCATCTCCTGTCTGCCAGATGACCTCTGAGTTAGAGACTCCAGGGCTTCCAGTATATGAGACTGTGAGCCCATAATTTCCTTGTAGCTGTTTTTTCATTACTTTTTAGCTGAAATCTTATTTTCCAAACCAGGAAGAAACTGGACTTAAAAGGATCAGAATTTGCCATGACATATTCTCACCATTTTTGTTGATATTTGGTGTGGCTGCAAAAAAAAGTGACCATTTGTCACTTTTGGGGTGAAGCTAAATCCTGAAATGCATAGAAAGAACAGTTGGGCACAAGTAGATGGGTTCCATCTTGTCTGTCCCCACATCTGTGTAGTGTGATTGCCCATGGCAGTTATTCCTGTGCTTTGCTTTGCCCATTTGGCAGAGGCAGATTAACTGAACTATTTGCAACATGCTTCCAATTAATTAATTTTTTTTTTAATCCAATCCACTTGCATCTGTTTATAGCCTGGTAATCTTCTCTTGGATCACTAACCCCTGTATTTTGTGTTGTAATTTATTTACAATTTTCTTGCTGAGATCATCTGGCCAAGATACAAATTGCTGCCACTGATTTGTTTTGTATGTTTTTGCCTCCAGCAACATTTCTATTTTAAGCACTAATAGCAAATTTGTAGCAGCAAAGACTTGATCCTCCACATGTGATGGCTGGAAGATCCTGTGAATGTTCAAGCAGTCTTACGCTGTAGAGGTGTTTGGAACATTTCTGTGTGGTGAATGAGTTACTGTGAATGTGTTTGCACCTTGTAGGCCAGACTGTTTTGTGCTTCCTGGGCTACACACTTAACTTTGGCAGCTGTGTTTTGCTGGGGCAGAGGTATGCTAAGGAGGCTGCCTGAATGGGGGAGTGGGAGGAATAAACCAGTTTTCTGTGGGGAGACTCTGAAAGGGAGTCTGAATTCCTAGAGCGTGACAAGGGAGGAGAGCAGAAGTAGTAGAGACTTAAAAGGGAGTTAAAAGGAAAAATTCTGCAAAGCCACTTCATGCTGAATGGGAGAGACAAAGAAATGAACCTGCTTTTGTGTTAGGAGTTGGAAATGACCTTGTAAATCTGAGCATTAGAGTGGGGACCAGGCAGGGCTGGAAGCTCGAAATTGAGTCTGAAGGAGTTGGTAATTCAGGAAACAAACTCTGAGACAAATCCAACTCCCATGTCCATTCCAGAGGGATGGATTCATTTTAAAGACTTGACTTTGGACAATGAAAGGGGAGCAAAGAAGGGATACACATAGATGTGCAGTTCATGTCTCAGTTAAAATTCTTGTACTGCAAGGAGTGGCATCTTACAAAAACCCATTTGTACGCTTGTTTTACCTATTATGTGCCTAAAAGTTGTAGTCTTCAAAGTAATGGCAGAATTTCTAGGAGAAGACATGGAAGCTGTGAGGACAGCAGCAAGGCAAATGGAGGAGGCAGTTGGATCATGACTACTGGTATTTGTAATGGGATGCTTCAGAGAGTGTGGCTGCAGATCTCAGACCATGGTTTGTTGTTGCCTTGAAACATAAGACACAGATAATGGCAAAATAGCAACCTTGGGAATGGGACAGTCTGATCTCCTCTTCAGTACTGGAGGTGACTTTGTGTTATAGCTCTATGAAAAGCAGGTGATAGATCAGGTGAGGAGCATGTCTAGAACTTCTGCACCTCCTCTGGGAGGGGAGTTCCCTGATGGAGAAGGACTCTCAGTGGAGAGATGCTGTGGAGAGGCAGTATTACTGTGACAGCCGTGGGCACAATCTGCACATCACTGGGCTTGCGCTTGTGATTATTAACCAGAAGCTGCCAAATGTTGCTGTGGGCAGAGAAAGAGCCTAGCAAAAGAGCCTAGATTGCTAAGTTCAGTGATGGTGTGAGCTTTTGCCAGCTTGGTGTCTTGCCACATCCCAGAACCTGTTTTGTGAGAGAAACTTTGCTGCGTGCAAAAACTGAGCTTGGCCGAGAGCACCAACCCAGTGTATTGCAGCCTGGGTCTTTGTGTAGTTTGGGAGAAAGAAGACATCTGGCTTTTCAGTAAAGTTGAAAGTCAGTTGCTTTCAGTTAGGATGGAGGCAAGTGTGCTGGAAATGGTGGTTAGGTAGTCTGTGACTGGGAGACTGATCTTCATGATTAGCCCAGGATCTTTCCAGGTGCAAACTCGGGATGTAACTTTCCTGGATGAGAAACAACAGTCATAAACTCCGTGGCTTACACAGCTCAGGGGCATGTGTTGGGAAAGCAAGAGCCAGGGGAAGCTTTTGTTTCCAGATACTGTCTTGGTTACATGACTCTGAATAGAAACTTTTTCAATTTAATTACCCTGTATATAGGTGAGAGTAAAAGTGCTTGCAAGTGTCACTTGAAAATAACAGAAACAGGGTTTGTGTGTGTGTGATGTCTTTGCATGTGGGACTGGGAGGCGGTGTGTTGGTGTTAAAATAATTCACTAGAGTATTAATACTACAACAACACTATCTTTGGCTGCAAATCAAATGAGAATTTTAACATGTGCTTTAGAAATGTTGCATTATTCAAGTGAGGCAATAATTGTAGCCAAACCATTTCAAACTGATGTATACATATGTGTAATCTGCATGTCACATCTACCTGTATGTCTACACGGTAATGGCTTAGTCCCAAGCTCTAGTATGCTTATTATACCCACTACATGAAGAAAACTTTCTCTCCACTTGGTTATCTGCCTTGTTAGGTGACACAGAAATGGTTTCAAGAGATGTGTGGAGTTTCCATGGGTAAGGGAGGCAGCTGTGACTTGTACCAAGAATATCTTTTATCAGGTGTGCAAGGATTTCAGTTCCTCACTTTGAAATCTGCTCAGAGCCTCTCTGGTGCTCTGCACTGTGCTGAGGGAATGGGTTAATGGTTGCTACTGGGAAGACCAAGGAGGCCAAACTTGGGAGCCTGAATGTGTTTAAAGCAGAAGTGCTAACAGTAGGATTTTTTAATTTGTCTTCCTAGGTTGGCTTTGGGGAGTTGCCGTTTGACAGCACCGACAACTTTGATAGTTGCCCCGATGTGTGTTTCCGAGTGGCAGGTTACAACTTCTTGTGCCATAAGGTATGTGATTGTGCTATTCTTCATTCTCCCTTTTTGCTATGAGTCTTGTCTGCCTGTCTCCCCCACTCATCCTGTGCAGGATACGCTCGACAGAATCAGCATTGCCTCATCAGCTGGAAAACCAAAAGCCTTATTGCAGCTGGAAACTATATTTAAAGCATTAACAAAATGGCAAACCCTGCCTTTCTTGCAGAGGTGAGAAGGTAAATGTATGGATTCAGCTATAGCATTCACAACTGCAAAATCTACTGCTGGGTTGTGAGTTCAGTGTCTGGAGAGGGGCATGTTAACAAGTAAACAGAAGTAAGAATGGATTTTGAGATTCTGACTCCTGCCCTTATGCCACACTACTTTGAAATCTCTTAAGTTTACAAATTGTTTTTTTGCTTCTGAGGGTAGGCGTGGATAGAAATAAGATATGGAAAATGTTGGAGATGCAGCTTCAAAGAGAAACAGAGTCTAAATTTCTGAAATATCTTTGACCTGCTCTGACAGCTGCTAGATAGTGCTAGTGGTGTTTGTTTTGGTGCCATGAGAAAGATGCTAGTGTTTTGGTCTTTCTTCCCTCTCAGGCATTTTTCTGTGGTCGTAGTGATTATTTCAAAGCCCTCCTTGAAGACCATTTCAGTGAGAGTGAGGAGCTGCAGACACAGCCCAGCATCCCTGTGGTGACCCTTCAAAACATCTCAGAAGACATCTTCATCCGGGTCCTCTACTACATCTACAGTGATGATACAGAGGTGAGGCCAGCCATGGAGCCTTTCCTCCTGTGCTGATTAATTCTGAAAGTGTTCACAGCAGTGTTTTCCTTCAGCATCTGGAGGGGCCTTGGATGTGGTTGCTCCAGTCCCACAACCCTGCTTTGCTGCCTCACTTCTGTCTCAGGAACCTACATACTGGGACTTGCTGTTAGCTAAGTAGATACAGTTGATGTGCATGGCATTCAAGAAGCAAATCCCTAATCTTTCACCCCATAACAAAAATTTGGAAATCAGGTTGCACATTGTATGTTGGCAAGATAAACTCAGGGCTTTGCAGATTTCTCTCTTGGCCTCTGTGGAAGAAAGAGGTGATCAGCTGCCAGTAGATGGCAGATGGAACACATTTGGAGATGTGGAAAGGTTGAGAAATTCAGCTTATTTACTCTTGGCACCATAGCCCACTTTTCCATTTGTAGCAAGTCATTATTTCCACTGCTACTTATTGCTGGGGTGGGCAAAAGTTCCACTGGGAGACCAAGGCCTTGCTGTGCTCAGTGTCACAAGCACTTACAAATGGCCCCAACCTGCCTAGTTTTCAAACTAATGGAAGATGCAGCAAATCTCAGCGTTTAAGCAGCTTCCTGCTTTGGTTTTGTGGCAAATGCTTTCAGCAGGTCTAGCTGTGAGATGCCAGGACACGTTCTGGCATTAGGGCAGAGATCAGACATGCTGCTGCACCTGCCAGTGTCACTTCTCCCAAGCAGTGCTTTGGCTTAGGTGCCACATCCAGAGTGTGTGCAGCTGTGACCTTGTTTCTGCTGATCTGTTCACCTCCGGGTAGCAGCAGGGAATGTGTGGTAGGGGAGAGATGTTCA